TCGGTAGGGTCACCCATGCCGGACGGGCCGACGGGGGGGGGGATTTGGGGAGGGCGCGGCTGTCAGAGCCGTCCGGACATATTCCGGGGCAGGGCCTGACAGTCGGTTCACGGGTAGGTCGGGTTCGTTAGCTTTTTAGCAGCCGACCTAGGGGAAGGACAACCTCGATAAAAAACCCGCCCATGAGTGAGGGGTTGTAAAGTTCTCACTCAAAGGATGGACCAATATGACGACGACACAACGCAAACTTACCGGCCCAGGGGTTTCGGAGCCCCAGGGTCCGGCGGCACGGGGGGTAGCGTCCCGGCTCCCTGTGTCGTCGTCATCCGGCGACGGGCTGGCGTGCGGGTTGCCTACGGGCCCGCACGCCGAAACAGCTACCGTGGAGGAGGTAGAAACAGGAAGAGGGGGAGGGAAAGGAAGGAGGAAAAGAAGGAAGATCCCGGAAGAGGAGATAGATATTGAGGGTTCTAGGACGGAAACGGAGGAGGGGTCTGGAGAGGAGGAGAAGTACTTCGAGGAAGAGAGAAGGAAGGGAAAGTGGCCAGATCCGGATAATGAGGGATGGAACAGGGACTTCGTCATTGAGCGCTATTACTACGCAGAAGAAAGCGCTAAAAGGATTGAGAAGGTCGTGGAGAAAAGTAAGAGGATGAGCAAGGCTGAGAAGGAGGAGATCGGAATAAGGAAGGAGGAGTTGAGTACATATGGCACGGAGATCGCCACAGTGTTCAAGACAAGGACGGAGTACTTGGAAAAAATGGTGAGGAGTCTGGAGAGGAGGGCCGATGAAAAAGTGGAGTTTGGGAGGAGAGTGGACAACGAGCTGGCAGTGTAGAAGGAGAAAGGAGCAAAGTGGTAATTGGAGCGGAAGAAATGGAAGGAGAAGGAGTTCAAGTGGGAGAGTGATAGGGAGGCATGGAACAAGGAAAGGAGAGGATGGATGCGTAAAAAAGAGGATCTGGGAAAATGCATGGCGGAGGTGGTCAAGATGTCCGAGGAGAACCGCCCTGTTGCCGCCGCGAAGACGGAGGACCGGGCCGTATCTCCCTTCTTGGAGGTACGACCCGAGGCGAGGGACAAGGCGACGTCCCCGCTCCGGGTGACTGATGCCGGGGCGCCGCTGGCTGGACAAGGGCCGGTCGCGTCCACGGCGCCCGCCGCGGTCCCGTTGAGCGACCGAGGCCGGGTCGTGGCGGGTGGACGAGGCGGGAGGGGAAGGAGAGTTCCTCCTCCTCCTCCTCCCCCCCCAGGAGGAGATTCAGGGACGAGCAGGTCCGTGGGCGTCCGGTGGCGCCTCGTGCGCTGCCGGCGCCGCCGGCGACGGTTGCGGTAGCGGTACGTCTCGAGCCGGGGGGCCTCACATACGTGGAGGCCCTCCGCAAGGCGAGAGGCGATATCGCCGTGGGAGAAGGTGTGGTCCGGCCCCCCGAAGAATGCCGAAAGGTGATGCCAGGGGGTCGCCCTACTTGCGCAGTGAAGGACACACTCAGGGGTTTTTAGTGGGTATACCTCCTCCTATCCTTAGAGAGGGGGAGGGGAGTCCCACATACCCCCGGTGACCTCCCCAGGTCTCCGGGGGATGCGTAATGCATTTTCCCCTGAGTTATCAAAAAAA